TAAAGGTAGGGGAGTGATTGTTGTATTGCCTTAATTCTCCTTCTTTCCTCTATCTAACGCCCTTCTTTATACCCGTCTAGCATCTCAATTAACATAGAAGATCCTGCTTAAAGAAGCCACTAATGTCCTTTCGACTACCGAGCTTTTTGCCGGTTTTTCCCCTCTTTTCCAGCCGTTGCCGGCACATCCGTCTTATCTCTCGCCACCTCTATAGGAAGCCATCGCCACTTCTGCTTCCCCTCTTGCCCCCACCCTCCTCTCTGCACCTCCTTTTAGCTCCTTCCTTAAAACCTGTTTTTTAGCTTCCTAGGTCCCTCGTGCCAAGGGATATCTCCGAGAACTGCGAAATTAGGCCACGCTTCGCGACACACCCCCTTAGCTATAGCCTGCCCTTATAGAAAGGGTAAAGCTAAATACCTAGGCCGGTGAGCGATAGAGGAGGTCTCAGTCTACACTTATCCCTACTCGAGAAATCCGGGTTTGGCCCCGGCTCTTTTAGACCTACTTTAGGAAAAGGGGCCTTAAGGAGGAAATTAAGTCCTATAAGAAAGGGGGCTTCTAAGGACAAGTCCCTAAAAGGGGGCCTTTAAGAAGAACAAGTCCCAATCAAGCTAGGGGCCCTCCTCTAGGATAAGTCCTAATTCCTCTCTTCGGCTGCAGATGTCTCCTTCCTCCTGCGTGCCATTAGCTCCTCTCGTAGACTCTTAAGGCGGGCTTCTAAGGACAGCTTCTCTCGAACGTCTTCTAGCCTAATTTGCTGTAAAAAGACAGCTAGCTTCTGCTTCGGCAGGGGCTTCGTAAGACCGTCGGCTTTCATCGATGCCGTTAGAACCTAACGGACGGAAATAAGTCCCCTTTAGACCTCTTAGCGTAACCAATGCTAGTGGATATCGATATACCGTAGCCGGGTCGATAACTTGCTGTTTTCCTCCGTAAGAATTCGTATAGTCTGCGTATTATCGCATTCTATAGCTAACGGGGACGGAATTTGCAGTCGTAACGATATTAGTAGCCGGCTAAGGAAAATCGCTTCTTTTGACGCTTCTAAAAGAGCTAGTAGCTCTGCCTCCGTGCTTAATGTAGTGACGGTAGCTTGTTTCGAAGCTCTCTAAGCAATAGTTCCTCTAAAAAGGGATATAATGTACCCCTGTGAGCTCTTTCTATCTAAGGAATTATCCGCAAAGGACGAATCGCTCGAACAAAGGAAGATTTCGGCAGCTTGTTTCCTTCCCTGCCCTCCTAGGCGCAGACCATGTGATCTCGTTGAATAGAGATAAAGGATAGCTCTATCTGCTGCTTCTTAATGCCTAGGGCTAGGATTCTGGTTATGCCTAGCTAGCCGGGAGACCGTAAAAGAGATATCCGGTCTAGTAGAAATAGCTGAAAAAAGTAAGGAGCCTACCTTCTGTTAATATTGGTGTTTCTCTTGCTCCCTGGCTTAAAAGGACGGATCAGGCAAAAGCTCTTCGTCTGATATAGGCGTAGAGGGAAGCTTCTTATCGAGGGAATTAGGGAGGAATTTATAAGCGACCTTATCGATATGGGAGCCAATAGAGGCGCGGACCCCCGCGCCTTTAAAGTCGGCGCGGACGTCCGCGCCTGTTATGTAAGCCTGGCAGGCCATTTGGGCCGCCGCCAACTGCGCTCGCAGTCGGCCTCACCGATACAGCATGCTTGCTGCATACATATAGCTTCAATTAATTGCAAAGGAGGATATCCCTTAGGTTCGAACCCATAGCCTTCCCTATTTGGTAGATTGACGTGACGCAAAGGGCGCCGCTGTTGCGTGGCAAGGAGGGTGCGCGGGAAGTTCACCGCCTTAAAATTGGCCAGCTACAGTGCTACACGCCGGTGCATGTCGGTGATCTCACGATCTGCCTCACATTTTCGCATCGCCGGCATCATCACCACTTATATATGTGAATAAAATGCCTGCTGTTCCTCTGAGTCTCTCTCGCAGTCAGCCCATATACCTGCAGTACCTCTTTCTCGTGAGAAAGGCTGCACCTGAATTTCCTCGGCCACCCGGGCATCTAATCGCTCTTCTTCTGCCTTATCCCAATCAAGGTATGCCATCATCTCTACCTTGGTCCATTGCCTCGAGCCGCAGCTCCTTGACATTTGCTTCCAGTCGAGGCACCAGTCATATTCAGTCTTGCTGTAGCGCAATGGCAAGCCCATTGCCTTCGGTATGCCTGGTTGGTCTTGAGACTGCCGCGAGGCTGTGCTCTATACCAAGAGTCTCTTTCCTGACATACCTCTGATAGATGGCTCGTGGGTCATCATATAATAGATTCTCTGTAGTCTCTGTAGTCTCTGCAATTGCTGTAGAGACTGTAGAGACCGTAGTGACTGCAACTGTCATTTTCTCCATGACTGCTGCAGTCTGCGCAGTCTCTGAACTGCTACCGTCTGTACAGTCTGTGCAGTCTGTGCAGTCCCTGCAATTGCTGCAGTCTCTGCAGTCTGTGCCGCCCGTGCCTCTGCCCGCTGCAGTATGTCGCTATAGCGTAAAGGACAATTGCGAGATGTCATGATGTGCCCTTGCTGGTGGCATTTGCTGCATGTAGGCGGCGCCTTTGGCCGTAGATCTGACTCTATGGCTTCAAATGCACTTGGCTCGCGCTGTGTGGATGACTGTGATATCCTTGATGCGGCGACAAGTTGGTCTAGTCGCCGACGAGGCTCTATGAGGACCTGACCAATCTCTTTGTTATCCCGTCGAAGGCGCCAATGTGTATGAAAATGTTGTAGCCGGAGGGGCAGATCTTCCACTATGAGAGACTGTAATGCGTGCGCACAAGGGAGACCGCGAGACTTGGTGAAGCTGCCTGTGCAAGATGGGGTGTTTTTCTCGTTGAGGCGCTTGTGTTGCTTTGCAACCTGTCGCAAGGCTTCGTGTGATACCCAGCCACGTACCGTGCTATATACGGTTCCAGAGAGCTCAATTGGCATCCGTATATGCTGCCTGGCTTGGTTGGCTTGTAGCTCGGCCAGTTGGTTGAGGAGAGCTTGCTTGATTGCCCTCGTTGCCTCGAAGAGGTCTAATGTTGACTTCTTAAGGTGACTCTTCAATAATGCGTGGATGCCTTCCACCCGGAAGTAGCCACATTGCCGAAGTGAGCATATTGATCGACCCAGGCCTTGACGAGCTTTTCCTATACGGGTCCAACCAGGTTTCCTGTATGTAGCTAACCTCCTTGACGTATCGTGGCACAAAGCGCTTCTCGAGCTCTTCAACTTGTTGATCAAATGTCTCCTCATCTTTCGAGCCCACGATTGAGTGCCAATACCCAAAACTCAGCCCACCTCTCATCACTATTAGAGTCCTCATCGTCACGGTCGAAAGCTGGTTTGCAATAGCTAAGCACCGCCTTATTCGCATGCCAGATGCAAAGCAGAGACTTGGACGCAGGAAAGCACCGGGAATTGCGTTTATGCAGGCGAGGCAGCGATCTGTCAGGATAACCGATGGCTGGCGAATGTCATATAACTCGTATATCGATTGGAGTTGGTCCAGTGCCCAGATATAGTCATTTTCGTCTTCACCACTGAGGAAGGCAAAGGCAATACAGAATGACCGCTGACAGGCATCAACGCCGATCATATCGAGCAGTGGCATCTTATATTTGTTCGTCTTGTATGTGCAGTCTAGCAGTAGTAATTCTGGGTATGCGTTGAGGTATCCTAGAGACGCTGGGTGTGCGAATAAGACTGCTGTGACTCGGCCATCATGATCAAGCTGTATGCGGCTCTGGAACCCCTCGTTGTCAAGCTCATTGGCAAGGGCATGCATTGTGCTCTGGCCAGCAAGGAGCTCTCGTCTGCGCTGTGCGATACAGTTATATATGTCTTGCTGTGTCGCTCCTTGGGCAGTCTGAGAGCTCTGGCGCATATATGTCCGGATATCCTTTGGTGCTATGCCAGCGCTTGAGAGGTTCCCAATAGCTGACTGGTCAGTTCAGGAGAGGCACGATGAGCTGGATGTGCTGTAATATGCAGACTGGGCTCATGGTTGTGGACCGACTTCTCCTCGCCTGGGCGATGCCTGACATACCAGTACGACTTATCAAGGCTCTCTTTCGCATTGATGGAAAACTGGCATCCAGTGATACGGGAGCTTGTAGACCGTTGCCGATCAGCTGGCTTCTGGTCCTTGCTTGTATGAGCCCCAAGTCTACCTCCACGATCGCAGGCAAATATGACTGTGCGTCTTCCGGACCGCGGGTCTCTCGTGGACTTGCCTGTGGTGAAGGCATAGCCTCTTGGAGCCGCCCACGCATTAATTGAGGCAAGAAGAGACTCTCGCGAGTCGAACTGGCCCTCAGGAGGAAGGCAATCGTCAGGGAATTCAGTAAGCCCCATATTGGAATTATCTTGAAGAGCTAGCTGTAGTGCACGACAGTGAGCAGCTCTTTATACACAAAGGAAAGGAAACTCCTGCTTTGTGGACGTGGTGCAGAACCCTTGTAACCGAGGCCGCCTGCGAGGTTTAATGCAGCCTGCGTTTGAGCTTTGGCCTCAATGGGGTCCAAGCACCACGCATGCAGGCGCTCGACCTTAATATGCGGATTATAGCATCGCTTCCGCGGACAACTACTCTGAGCGCAGATGGTATGCTATATGAGGCTGGCTCTCTGTGCGACAGTTTGCCACATGCAATAGAAAAGGAGAGTACAGGTCAGGGGGCGGCCCGACTATCTTCCGCCTGGGCTTACATAACAGGCGCGGACGTCCGCGCCGACTTTAAAGGCGCGGGGGTCCGCGCCTCTAACGTAATCCACCCCCTTCCCGGTCAGACCCCCTACTCGGTCAAAAATTCCCCACCGACTAGACCCGCACCTTACGCGAGACAAACGGAGCACAATACCACGACATATTTACTCCAAGAGACAAGTAACTCGATTAGGACTATCTATTACACGTACGGGCAGTGTGTTCAAAAGACCTGCACTTACTACACCGTGGTGGTGCACGCTGTCTTGGGACACTCAGCTCTTCTATAAGTCGTTGGTCCGCTCCCCTTCTTCCCGCCGTCGCTTGGCCCGCTCATCTTCCTTTGCTCTCTGTTTCTTGACCCGCTCCTCTTCCTTTTCTCGCCGTAGCTTGAACCATTCCTCGTTCTCTTGTCGCCGTCGCTCGGCCCGCTCTTCTCCTTCTTGTCGTCGCTTGGCCCGCTCCTCGTCCTTCTCTCGCCGGCGCTTAGTCCTCTCCTCTTCTTCCACTCTCCGTCGCTTAACCCGCTCTTCTTCTTCTTCTCTCCGTTGCTTTATCCTAACCGTGCCCTCTGCAACCGATAGAGTACCGCCGTCGCCAATGTATTCACGGCGCTGTTCTTTTCTCTGCTTTCGCCGCTGGTTTTCTGACCGAAGTTGCCGGTTTTCGTCGGCAAGGAGGGCGGCGCTGTGCATGGCCATTTGACATCCTTTGATAAGCTGGTTGATAGCTTGTGAAACTGGCGAGTCTGTATTTTGTGGCCGGCGTTGAAGAAGCCTTTCGGCGTGAGTGGTAAGCTGGTTGACGTTATGCGGAGTCTTGGCTGCTTCCAGGCTCTTGTTGGGACTTGGAGTATTCTTGTCGCCGTGATCGTTACCGACTTTGTCAACCTGAACTTGTAACCGCGATAATACTCTGTTTGGGTCAAACGGAAAAAGGCCTGTTGCCATAAATCCGCTTCGGATATTCGACGGCGAAAGTGCTTGTCGGCGAGCGTCTAAGTACATGGGAAGGAAGTCCTGCTTGTCGATATGATGGATCCCAGCGAGCATTTTCTCTTGAACCTTTCGGCCGTATATGGTTTTCAACGGCGAAAAGCACCCGACATCAAGAGGCTGCAAGAGATGTGAGGAATGTGCAGGCATTTGAGTACTACGATGGAATTGGCCGTACAGTACTTGTCAAATTCCGGCGTGACGTGACTGCCGTGCCCGTCGAGAATAAGAAGTCGATGCGTACCAACCGTACGGCGCCGTGTATTCGGATCAAAGACTTCCTTTAATTCAAAGCAAGGTCGTCGGAAGTCCAGCCATTCTCACTAACGGCGATATGCCAGTCATCGGGCACTCCTGATTCGTACCAGCTTGCTTGGTGTAACTTGCCCTGGAAGATAACCTTCGCCGGTAAAGCCCAACCTTGGCAGTTGATAGACTCGATCACAGTAACCCATTCTCGATTTCCAGGCTGCGTGAGTACTGCCCGACCTCGCCGGTCAGACCGGGTAAGGACTCTCGCCGTTGCAGCGACTCCATTTGAAACCCCGTCTCATCAAAGTTATAGACATCCTCGTCAAGAATCCCCATTTCTGTTTCGTCGCCGCGACTCGATCGTACCATCCTTGGATCTTTGGGGTCTTCGCATTTGGCTCGTTGGTAGTCGTATCGGCGAGTACTTTGCCTTGATTTCGCCGTGGCGGCCAACAAACTTCCGCACCCAGTTTTCCCCGACAGGATCTTTGCCTCGCTCGGAAAGCAATAAGTTGGCCATCCGACGAGTGTAAGCCACTGTCGGCGGCATCCTCGCTCGTCCATCGACAAGATCCATTGTACCAGGGCAGTCTCTTCCGTCGCCGTCAACTTCAGGTTGTTCATCTGAGCGTCGCGTCGGCGAATGACACCGCGCAGTCGATCAGATACTGTCGATTGAGGGACGTCGTATGCGGCCGCAGCCTTGCGGGTACTTTTGATTGGCCCTGCTGATAGGCCCTGACGGCGAGCAGGACCCGTTCTTCGCGTGGAACCGATTGGTCTCCCGTTGCCGTCATAGTGCTCGGTTTGTCTTGCCATAAGTGTGGGTCGCCGCGTGGAGACTTTTTCTGACCGAGTAGGGGGTCTGACCGGGAAGGGGGTGGATTACGTTATTGGCTCCCTATCGATATAGGCGTCTTAGGTAAGCCAGATTGTCCGTTAGGACCTATTCCTAAGGATTCGTATCCCTAGGAACCACTTTGGCTCCCCTAGCCTGGTCATCTTATACCTTTGTTGCAGGCCTCGTATAGCCTCCCTAGCAGCAGCTTCTTCCTCTTTCGGGTAGGCCTAGATAATGTCGTCGACGTAGAAGAAGACCGTGATTTTACCCTTTTGCATTATACACGGTTCCTAAGGGACTTTCGTGAAGCCTAGGGCCTCGAGGGAACCTATTAAATGCTGTTGCCAAAGAAGGGGTGATCTTCGTAGTCCGTATAGAGCTTTCCTAAGCCGTAGAACCTTTCCTGGCTATTAGAAGCCTAGTGGAAGGCGCATATAGACAACTTCTTCTTCCTCGAGTAGGCAGTTAACAAAGGCGTTAACTGCATCTATCTAATCGAGCTCGAGGTCGAATTCTGCTGCTATAGCTATAAGGGTCCGAAAAGACATCCCAGCTAGGGTGGTTGCCCTAGTAGGTAAATCCCCTTTTTCCTATTAATTCCTATAGACAACTAGCCGGGCCTTGCACTTTTAAAGGAAGCCGTGTTTATTAGTCTTATAGATAAAGACCCACTTGCAGCTAAGGACCTGTTTTCCTCTTGCTTTTTCCTTAAGGACCTCTTCGAAAGACCCTATCTCTTCGTGTGAGGCTAGGTGGTCTTTCTAGGCCTGGAAAAACTGGTCTCTAAAGGGGTGTCTTTCTAGCTGCTTCTGGTTTGCTAGTGGGTCCGGGAGGTCTCTTTTGTGTACCTTCCTTGCTGATACTGGCTTGAAAAGCCGGCCTGCTGTGAACGCTCCGTGGGAACCGTCTTCTATTAGCGTTAGGTAGAAGTCGGAAAAACGATCGAAATAGGGGAGAAACTAGTCTTCTTTCGTATCGGGCCCTATACCTTCCTTTGCTTCTCGAAGCAGGGATAAAAAGGCAGCCTGGTAATCCTTCGAGAGAGGTGCCTTTCCCACCCCCTTAGGGGCCGAGACAGGAAGACTGACTGAAAAAGCTGCTTCTAGATCTTCTTCTTACGTAGGAGGAGGCGTAGGTAGGTAGGCGTATTCCAGCTCTACCGCTTTCCTATAGTCTCCTTCTTCGTCTAGATCATCTGATCTAATAGCTTCCTCTTTAAAGTCGGCGTTATCCTCGACTGCTTCGACGTCGGTTTCTTCTTCCGTTTCCTCGTCTAGGACCTCTTCTTAAGACTGTTAGGAAGGGGGGATTTAAATCTTCTGAATTAGCTAACGTTGAGAGAGTAAAAGGGGCTATTGATCCCTCTTTCCGTTAAAGAAGCTAAATTCGTCGAAAATCACATCCCTAGTCGAAATAACCTTCCGTAGAAGAGGAATCTAGATCCGGAAGATATTCGTAGAATTATAACCAACGAGGTAACCAATAAAGGCTCTAGGATCAAGCTTTCTTTTCTTCTTCCTTTTTAGCTGTGCATCGGCAGTCATTGCGTATGCCTTACAGCCGTAGGCACGAAGGTGGGCTAGCGAGGCCCTCTTCTTCGTAAAGTGCTCGAGGGGGGATTTCCAGTCTGTTCCTTGGTTTAGTCCCCTAGGGTCCTTTAGGTCTCTCGGGGTCCGGTTCCGTAGGTAACAGGCGGTCTCAACGACTTCCCTCTAAAGGTCGTGTGGAAGCCTTGCAGCTAGTCTCATCGTACGGGCCCTTTCCATCACAGCACCCCCTAATCTTTCTGCCCCTCCGTTCTGGGCCTGGGTATTCGGTGCTAACGGGAGGGGTAAAATGCCCCTTTTTCGAAGCCAATTTAAGATATCCTTCGTAAATAGCTCTCCGTCAGACCGTATCTTCTTTACCTCGTAGCCAAAGTAGGATTTCATCTAGTTAACGAAGTCCCGGAGGGCAGACTAGTTATGCTTACTTAGGTAGGTCCGTAAGAAATAGGGGAAAACTATCCCTAAAAAGGCGTCTGTGAAAAACATTACCCTGACGAAGCTTTCCTGATCCCTCGAGACGTCGGTCCAGTCGACCTAAATTTCCTCACACGGCTGGTCCGGCCGTAAAGGCGTTCGTCTGGAAATTCGTCTCCTGGTCTTTCCTTGGCCGCAGTGTTCGCATTCGACGGTCTTTGGTCCCCTTATTCGTACGCCCTATTGTTGTCCTAGCTTATGTAAAGCTAAGGGGCCCGGGTGACCAAGTCGTGCGTGCCAAAGAAGACCGTCTCCTTGGGCTGCTGGAAGAGGGTCCTTGGATCCTACCCTCCTAGCAGGGAAAGCTGACTTCTCGAGAGATTCCTTCCTAAGGATAGGTCGGAATTCGAGAACAAATTGACCGAATTTTTCCTCGATAAGCCCGATGGTCTGATTCTTCTGGACTAGCCTCGTAGGCTCAGACGTTATATCCTAGAAGATTCCTTCCTCTCGAAGAAGGCGGAAGGAAATCAGGCTCGTTGAAAATCGAGGGCAAAAAGCTACCCTTTTTCGTCGAAGAATTCGTATAGACCTATTAGGTAATTTTATCGTAAAATTCACCCTTCCGTACCCCTCTATCCGTACGGTTGATTCCCCGGCAATAAGGTATTCCCTCCGTGCCTTCTTAAAGGACCGGAATCTTAAGAGTGTATTGCAGATGTCGAGGGAAGCACTAGAGTCAAGGATAGCTGATTTTCGTAGGGGATAATCGGAGGGCTCTAACGGTTGGTCTTGGCCTTGTTGATCCGTGGGGAAGACGAAGGCCGGATTTGCTATACTAACGATTTTTCCTCGAATTTGCGGCTCGAATAAGGGCAGCGGCGTTATTAGTTGCTATTTCTTAGCAACCCGAATCTCGTCTATTTTCTTCTGCAACGAGGGATCCTCCTTAAGAGACTGTTGTATCGTTTCTTATAGCCTCTTTGAAGGGTTGAATCCTTTGGGTCGGTTTTCCTCGAAGACCTGCTAGCATTGTGATAATCGATGGCCTAGGGATTTGCAGGCTAGGCAGCCGTTTCGTCTGGTCTTTCGTTTCTTCGAGGAATCCTCGTCCCGATCCGGAAGGTCTGCTTAAAAACCCCCCCTTTTTACCCCTTGTTGCTGATTTTAACGAAGAGGTTCGATTTCGACTAGTTCCCTGATTTTTCGACTAACGGACTGAAAGGTCTATTGGGGGACTAGTCGGGCCGGTCTGACTGACGGGACCGGGGCCGGGCCCGGAGCAAGAGGCGGAGCCGGGGCCGGGCCTAGGGCAGCCGTTGATGACGGTGTTGATGCTCTCGAGGGAGGAGGAGCCGAAGGAGCAACAGCCGCAGCAGCAGCAGCGGGAGCCGCAGCAACAGGGGCTGCAGCAGCTGCAGGGGCAGCAGATCGAGCCGTCTGGGTCGAGTGCTGGCCACGAAGGAATAAGACTGCTTGCTGTTGTACTCTGGCAGCCTCTTCGTCTAGTTCTCGGCTAGCTTCTCGAAAGATAGTCGAGTAACCGTCACTAATAGGCTTTATTAGCAGAGATATATCCCGTAGCCACTAGCCGGAAAGAGCTTCTATGAGGAAGTATTAGTTAGCTTCCTCGAGGATTTCTTCCCACTTAGCTAGCCACGAAGAAGCTAGCAGGTTCCTAGCAGAAAAGGCTCCTAGGTAGGCCGTATAGGTCTTCCTAATACGGTCAGTTATATAGCCCCTCGAGGGAGCTGTCGAGGTCTCGAGCTTTAAAAGCCACTGCCTAGGAGTCTCTTCCTCTCGAAGAGTGATTAGCTTTGCGGCACTAACGGATTCCGTTATCGCCGTGCGTGTAGTAGTTAGCAGCTTCGTTTCGTAGAGGTATTCCTTTCGGTGACTCTCGTAGTCGCCTAAGGCAGCAGAAAAAGCTCTCTATTGTGCGGAGGTTAGCTCGGAGAAGAGGGAAGCTCCCTCTGCAAAATCCGTTGCCCTAGGACGAAGAGGGGGCTTAAGAGGGTCCTGCTTGTCAGAGAAGACCAAATTGTGGATGGTTCTGTCCACACGAGCCCGTAGCTCCTTTACCTACTTATCCCAAT